AACAATTTCGAAAAAAAACTAAAATCAGGACTATGCTTACCATGCCCATGACCATGTCCGTGGCCGTGGCCATGTCCACCGTGTCCATGTCCATGACCGTGACCATGACTATCGTTGTGTTCTCTCGATGTTGAAGGGGTTACATGAGTATAGACTTGGTGATCACCAAAATGAGCCTGATCAGCAGCACGAACTGCCAAATTTGAACCCAAGAATGTCGTCTTCTCAGACAGCAGACCGTCAATTGAAGACATAGTGATTACTGAAAAATAAATTTATAGTCGGAAAAAAATGAAAGGATGGACTATCAATCAGTACACACAGCTTCTTGAGAGAACGATCTTCACTGCTCTTCGGAAAGAAAAGAAAAAGATGATATGAAATTGCGAGGACCAGGTCTAAACTCAAGTCATCCAGACACGTAAACAAAGGTTGTGTACAAATTACTTCCACATCTCGTGAAACCGAGAAACAATGGGAGAACAACTGTCAGATTCTGTTGCAAACAAAAACAAAACTTTACTAAAAACAACCCATCACCACAGCTCGTATTGCTGCAGTCCATGAACCTGAACCTAGAAAGAACACCGAAAAGGAACGATGCACTCTCGAAACCAACGAGAAGAACGTCACAGAAGAACGCCACGTATCCCAAAAAATGGACAAAACACCATTCATTGCGGCAATCCAAGTGTGTAGGACGCAGTTTACATACACTACGTATACCGTAGCAACAAAAATGATTGGAGCATGGGATTTTCCTCTCGAAGTCCTACGTTTGACAGAATTGAGTTTCTCCAAGAAAGGAAGGGATCGGTCTTGGGTAGAAGAATAGCATGGTTACAGCTCTTACATACTCCGTTCTAGCAGGCCGCAACGAAGTAACTGCGGATTCGACCCTCAATTTCAAAAACTCGTATTTTTCTTTGAATTGAACTTTATTCCTAATAATAATTCCCACAAGTACCTACAACAGTCCGCCATCGGTCGACAAGGGAATGAATGCCTCTCCTCAAAATTCGGCAGGTTCGAGTCGAAGAACTGCTGGATGTCCGCTTTCCACTGTTGGCGGTTGTCGTACTTTTTATCCTTTAAGAAGTGAGCCAGGGAACGGAACAGGTGGTAATCCGTAGGTGCGAGATCTGGCGAATATGGAGGACCGTGCATCCAAGTTCCGCCAATGTGTCCTGGGTTACATTGCTATACTACATGCGGTCGCGCGTTGTCATGAAGAAGGACTTCGTCCAGCTTAGGGCGAAGTTTCGCGACTTCAGCTGCGAGCCTTCGTAGTTGTGAGCAGTACACCTCAGCGTCGACGGTGGTATTGTCTGGCAACCGCGCAGGGTACGACCTATGACCATTTCGGAGCACTGCCTTTCCTTTACCAGCTCC